ACCCAAGGACCTCTGATGAGGTTGGAGATACAACGCATGTGCTTGGCACCTAAAATAATGGAGCCAGGTGTGAGCATGAGTTTAGGTGAATTAAGAGAACCGATCATTGATTCTATCCCATGTAAGTGGACAAGTGCAGGGTCTTCATGGTACAGCTCCTGCAGTCGATATCATGCTTAACAGAGAAATGTTGAAGGAGACAGATGAATACAAGAAAGCACAAGAAGGAGAGTGGGAGTCCAGGCAACAGCAAAAGGTTGCCGTTTAAATATATGAAACTTGGTAAACTTTTTCTCAAGTGTTTTATTAAACTTCCTGTGGAATTGTTGCAGCGGGAACGTAAGAGAAGAAAGTTAGCAAACACGCGAAAGTTGGAGATGGAAAGAAGGCAAAAGGAGAGGGTAGAGGAAGTGAGAGAGACACAGAAGGAGGTATCTACTTTTCCTCAGTGGTCGCTCCGGTTTCTTGTGTTGATTTGGTAACATACATTTTGTATTTCCATCTCTAAATCACAGGATGAGGAAATCATGAACATGAAGGAACAAATCCGTGCAGAAATAACCAAATTGCTTCAACTCAAATCATATAACATAACATGGCGTCGTTGCTTAGAGGCTTAGGGATTCCTGTTGGTGGTGGAGCATCACCTCTGCCACAAGAGGTTAGCCCAACTATCTCTACAGTTAGTTACATTGGTTAACTGCTTTTGTATACACTTCATATGATAACAACGTTTATCGTAACCGATTTTGAAGTTAGGTACACGCAGCATACAAGCGAGCAGTTCTGAAATTCCATCCAGACAGAGCATCAGGAGGTGACTTGAAACAGCAAGTTGAAGCTTATTGCTCGCATGAAGGACAAACTTATATCCTAACATTGACCAAAGACGATTTATAGAAGTTTACCTTTTTTTTTTTTGTGTGGAAACACTTCGAGCAGAAAGAATATCTGTAATTCAGTTTCTCGATTATCCCACAAAAACAAACTTGTTGAGGTAGGTTTAAAAGAGGAAGGAAAAAATAGCACACTAAGTGTTTGGTATCAACGTTTTCTCTTCTTGCCTCTTCTGCCTTTACCAAGTTGTCCAGATTTGAAAGCCGGAGCTTTGCCAGGTTTCTCTGCTCTCTCTTTGCCTCTTCTGCCTTTACCAAGTTGTCCAGATTTGAAAGCCGGAGCTTTGCCAGCTCTCTCTTTACCACGTTGTCTAGATTTGAAAGCCCCTTGCACAGCGTTCTCTTTTGCTTTAACCTCGCTCATGGAGTTACTGTCTTTGCTGTATTTGTCTGGATCGTAATACCTGCCTTTGACATAGCTGCACAACAACATATATACACTGTTATAGAGATCATCCCTAAGTGACTCTCTGTAAGTATAACTGAGTAAATGGATTTAGGGGAGAAAGAGAGAGATGCTTACTCATCTTCAAATTTGGGTGGTTTGTGTTGCTTCCGATGCTCATCGGTTTTCTTTTCAATTAGCTGGGCAACATATTTTAATTTGTCCTTGAGAGTTTGTGGGATCTTTTCTTGATTACCAACTTGGTGTAATAAAGTTGAAATGGGCGTGAAGATCTCTGGAAAGGAACTCAAGCCTTCGTTTATCTCCACAAACCCTCTGAGAGTCTCGACTACAGTTGAAATGATGCTTGCTCTGTTTAACCAAAGCCAAAAGTATTATACTCACTTCCATGTTGATGTCTCAAACCGAAAATTGAAATCAGAAGAGAGAACACACCTGAAAACATCAGAGCTGAAATATGGAGAGTCTGCTGGGTGATTCACTATCTCAAGGAAGTTTAAAGGCACAATCTCCTTTACATGGTCTTCTATGCAGAGCAATGGAGCCAACGATTTTATTTGCATAAAATGATAACACTGTAACACAATACACAGCAGCTCATCATCAGTCCGGTATGTCCATATTGAGTATGAAAACGAATGTACCTCAGATTCCTCAGGTGATTTTTCGTCTGAAGCAGCCATCAGAAGAGTCTTGATAAATAGTATGGCTTCAGGACAGAACTTTTTGCATTTTTTAACAACCTACAGTAGATTTTGGTTCGCATGAGAAAAATGAAAAATCGAAATAGCCAAGGAAAAGGGTAGGGATCTACTTCTCCTCACCAAGAGAACAATGGAGCACAAGAAAGAACCTATGGCAATATCACGACCAGAGGAGATGGGACAGCGCATGAGATATTCACACATCAACAGTATCGACGGAATCATCACAATATGGCGAAAGTCGGAGCACGGAAAAATCATGGACCAAAGCCGCAAGAGATACAATGTTTTCAAGGAAGGCCAGCATCCATCATCTGGAAGAATGTTTCTGAACTGGTTAGGGCAAAAAAAATGGAAGAGGCGTGCATCTTTAAGGGCACTAACACTTAAGGCTGTTAAAGCACCACAAACCTGGATTCTTGATGGCCTCGCAAAATTGGGCATGGGTCATCAAAAGCCTCTGGCGAGCACATATTGCAGCAAAGAAGCGAATCTCCATGCTCATCTCAATCAATGGTTTAACCAGCATATTTAGTAACTCAAAGTTCAAGGGCTTCTTGTTTGTAAGAACGGCAAAATACTGCATGAGAAGACCATAGAAGATCTGGGTGGCAGACAACAAGAAACATTCAGAAAGCAAGTTAGGCATGAACCAGTTCAAAGTTGTGAAAACTTAACCAGAAAAGAACTGCAAACAGGTAAATGGATAGTGTTATCTTTGAGAGCATAAACAAAGATTACCTGCATTTTTTCCATATTTCCATCTTTCTCGATTTTAATTGGATTACTTGTCCGGATTCGACTGACAATTTCAATAACATCTGCATTGGAACAATCTTTTACTAGAGCAAGCAATTCCTCAAAATTCTTTGGGGCCTCTAGAGCATTATCACCTTTTCTCTGGTTCTCATCACCCCCATCTGA